TTAGTAGAACCGTCGTTATCAAAGGCTTTCCTGTACTGGAAAAAAATGTATTCCGAAATTTACTAATCCCTTCTCCTTCCATTACTTTGTAATGTATAAAATAAAATATGATTATATTATTTAACATGTAACTCAAGAACTCCCCATCTTTCCCCCTCCCCTCCACCCCTGCACACACACACTGTTACCAGATCGTCAGCTGATTCTACCTCTCTGGTCGTCTGGCTGGGTGTTCAACGAGGAAGAGTCAACGATTCTACATGGTGAGCTGAGACAATTACCCATATCATGCATCGGGACATAACAAAAGATAAAATTCTTCATTTGTGTATTATTCCAATCAATTTCTAAATGAAATTGAGCTCCAAATATCCTGATGGCTAGTTCCAGCATATTCTGGGTTATGGGGGTAAGGGGATTTCAGGATAAACTCATTTGTAGAAGGCCACTTAAGAAGCAGGAATGGTGGGTAATTTAACTGTGGCTAAGATTCTTTAGAAGAGTGAAGAGAATCCGTTACCAAAGTTCATAAAGCTCGCCATACACCACCTTGTTTTTCTGGATGATGAATTTACTTCAAACCGTACATACTGGAACATAAGGCAACTTGGCATAGAAGATGACTCATTTTCAATTTAAAAGTTTTGTTTTAGGCTATACTCTCCATATAAGACAATTATAAAATATGAACTATAGTCATATGATCTAGGGTGTTACCATGGGTGACCAATGCAACTTTAACTTGCAGGCAATATATTGTCAATAATCTGCAGCTAATGTGATCATGCTGCTGTATTATAAACACAAGTGAATACCCAGATGATGTCACCAAGGTATGTTATTTTATGATACTGTACTTCACAACAGCTGGTTACACCAATCTTGGCTCCTGCTACCTCTATTTTTAGTTCCTCTGATTAAAGAGAAGCATTTATGTTTCATTAACATTTGAGTGAAAAAAAAGTGTATATGCTTATCAACCATATTTCTTTTACCCTACTGAAAATAATGCATCTGATGGCTTTGTTGGCTAATTTAAATAAAATTGCCTTATTGTTTACTATTGGGGTATACCTGCATTGTCTTAGGTACATAGGAAATGGTGAACAGTACCTCCATGATCTACTGTATGTACACGATATACTTGTTGTCTATACACATGCTGAACTACACCTGCATAGTCTATGTAGTACACCCAATTGTAAACTTCTATGATGATTTTCCTGAATATATAATAATAATAATAATAATAATAATAATAATAATATATTATAATCAAACATACTCCAATAACACCGTGTTACAATAAAAATATCTTAACAATTGTCAGAATTCACTGACAGGAAAGGGTAAAATTAGTTTAAGATTGTATATAATCTAAATTGTACTGGCTGCACTGAAACTGTGTAATAAATAGGGATATGGTGATGTTTATATGGAAAATTATCCCTGACAGGAGAGGCTAGTGTACATAATATAAAATGCTGCTCCTTAAGTCAGAACAGAAACTGGGAAAATATGAGTAACCAACACAATCATGTTTGTTGACTAAGAACATTACTGTACAGTTGTTACCCGCTTAGTTAAGCTGTTTGTTTCACTTAACGCGATTTCTCATATACTCGGTGAAGTATAATATATATATTTTTTTATTTAGCTCATAAAATTCATACAAATTTCCCGGCCAGAATATAATTTACATTGCTGGAATTCTTACAATATGATGATCATTTTGAATATAAACATCATAGATTTTGCATTAGACATACAAATTTTAGATATAATGTTTACTCTGAGTAAATATGTTATCTTTTGTAAAAATATATATGACATTTATATTCAAAATATTCTTGGTCTAAGGAATCCAGCAATGTCAATTATATTATCCTAACTTTAGTTTGAGGTATTATTTATTACTAAAAAGGTAAATATTCTGTTTTCCAACAATTGGTAGGGAGGACCCAAATCGTCATCCAAGTGGTGAAGAATATTTTTTTTTATTAACTGAAGATATTTGTTTTAGCTCATAAATTCAGACAAATTACTGCCAGAATATAATTTACATTGCTGAATTCTTACTTGATGAGTCATTTTGAATATAAATATAGATTTTGCATTAGACATACAAATTTTAGATATAATGTTTATTCTGAGTAAATATGTTATCTTTGTGCAAAATATATGACATTTATATTCAAAATATTCTGGTCTTACAAGGAATCCAGCAATGTCAATTATATTATATTATCCTAACTTTAATCTGAGTTATTTTTTATTACTAAAATGTAAATTACTATTTTTCCCAAAGCTTCTCTGGTAGGAGGGTGGTGGGGGTGGGGGAGGGTTGGGACGGACCCACCATCTGCCAAGTTGGAAGAGGGGAGGTGGGGTATTTTGATTGACAGATAGTGTTGTGAAGAATATTTTTTTTTTATTAACTGAAGATATTTGTTTTAGCTCATAAATTCATACAAATTACCCAGAATATAATTTACATTGCTGGAATTCTTACAATTGATGATCATTTTGAATATAAACATCATAGATTTGCATTAGACATACAAATTTTAGATATAATGTTTACTCTGAGTAAATATGTTATCTTTTGTGCAAAATATATGACTTTATATTCAAAATATTCCTGGTCTTACAAGGAATCCAGCAATGTCAAATATATTATCCTAACTTTAGTTTGAGGTATTATTTATTAAAATCTAGTGGTTTTCCCCAAAAAATTTCTCAGAGAGGGAAGAGCCAGCAGTGTAGTGTGAGAAGAGGGGGAGGGAGTCGAGTCCATTATTTGAATGGACATTAACTTGGCGATTGTATTTCTCTATTTCTCTTAAGTATTAATTGTGTGCATGTACCATCATAAAATTAAGATGTTATTTTTACTAGAACATAGTTGTGTGTCGTCAAAAAGTGAGGTTTGGGGGTCGGGCCAGTCTCTATTGGAATTAATCCCATATGTTCTGTTGTTCACTTAACACGGTTTTCACTTAACGTGGTACCCTGTGGGTTCAATTGACCGCGTTAAGCGGGGTACAACTGTATATTAAATTCATGAGTTACAAAAAATAATAACTAGCTCCATAATCTATACTGTACTGAATAACTAATAATTAACTAATTAAATACTGCATATTTGTTAGTAATAAATCAATATGAAAATCATTTACTATTACGACTGATGTCAGAGTAAAATGACAGGAGGCTCGGGAGGAGTGGGTAGCCACGTCAGTGCTGAAACAGCCGGGGTGGAAGAAACATGGAATTCTCTCTCAGTCAGTTTACTCAGTTTAGTGAGTGAATATCTTCAAGCACCGCACAAACACCTCAAAGATAAGTAACAATTAGCTTGGTACAGTAGGGTCGGGATATATCGCGAGATAGAGTCCAAGGATGTTCGCTATACTACACTATACTAAATCGCGATATATAATTACATGTAAACATAAAATGGTGCAGTCTAAAGTTAGAACATAAATTACATTGCTGGAATCCTTGCAAGACAGCAAATAATTTTATTTCAGACATCATATATTTTGCACAAGAGATGAAAATTTTAGCCCTTTGTTATAAAATAACTAATTAAACTAAAATTTGTATGTCCCTTGCAAACTATAGCATGTTTATATTCAAACTAATCACTATCTTTTAAGAATTCCAGCAATGTTAATTATATTCTCCCAGGTCAGTTCAGTGACATTTTCTAAGAGAAAAACTTAAAGTCATTCTTAAGGGCAGATAAATAAATAAGCACTAGACCTTGGCATCAACTGTCAAGCATATATCACCCCCCCCCCCCCTCCCATCTTCCCAGCCAGGGTTGGGTAGTATTAGGCTTAAAATTTTTATCTTATACAAGACAGTGAATAATTTGAATATAAACGTCATATATTTTGCACAAGAGATAACAATTAATCACCTGTACTTATCACATTACAGTAGTGATTTAGGAGCTTTTAGTGCATATGTACATTTACTGTATATATATATATATATATATATATATATATATATAGTGATTTAAGGGCGATTTAGGTGTATTTGTGTATTTACACGAGGTCACAGGAACGTAACCCTCGCCTAATTTGCGAGTCTACTGTATAGTATTGGAAAATTTTGATAATTTTGGTAGCAGTGATAAATTTGAAATATTTCCTGCACGATTTCCCTCGCTAAATAAACAAAATATCGCTCTACATAAGAAAATGTCGATAATTTTGGTAGCTGAGATATAAATTTTTGTTTATATAAAGTCGCTATATATCCCGACTCTACTGTGTAAGGGATTATGAGTTAATACCCTGTACTTAGTTAATAATTATATCTATGAATCTTATTTATGGCCATAGCTAGGTTCATAGAAAACGAGGTGGTTGAGTACACTGAAACTTATATCTTCGGTGTATTGTTACGACGCAAGTTAATTCAAAATAAAAGGTAAATATTTTGGCGCTTGGTATTGATCAACTAGAATAGATGAAATATGATTAGTCCACTCAAATATAAGTTATAATTCAATAAATGGAACGAATAATTACTAATATTGATTCCAGTGAGGATTGTTATCGGTATCCTATCAGGCTTCAAAGGAGCTTTAAAGCCAAGTAGGTGATCGCCAATTCTCTTGATTTAATATTCCTTCGCCACCAAAGTTGGGTAGGAATACTATTATTTTTTTATTACAAATGTATTTTATACACTGGTCCTTCAAACATTGAATTATGAATGACTATTAATCAAGCCCAGAGATCTGTTGGAGGTAGAGGTTATCGGAGTGAGAGTCGAAGAGGGTGGGCTCATTATCTGTTCTCCACAACAACAGCAGCTGAGGGGTAGGTGTGAAATAAAATACCCCAGGGTATTCCTGTACAATACTTTTCTTTCCCTAATTCATATGGTCAAGAAATTGAAGTTTCTTTAATATGACATCGTATACGGTACGGTACTGTACAGTAGTTATACATGCCTCAAATATTACAAACTCAACTCACCAGTGTAAGGTAAGGATGACGCAAATAGAACATATTTTGCTCTTCCACCTGTAGTTTCTTTGTAGCATTCCCAGTTTCTAACTCCGTTACCTTGGGTGTCTTACGATGTTTCCTACAAAAAAGGAAAAACACAAGTTAATTTCTAAAGTATTTGTGTGGTCATACTAAGGCCTGTCCCTAGGGTAGGGGGTCCATAAGAATTGTGATCAACCTTATCCAACACCAGGATTAGTGACTGCATTTTCTGTTATCAGGTCAAAAGTAAGGTCAGACTGACCCCATCTCACCAATAAGACTCAGGACAATGATATCATTATTAACCCCTTTAATAAATCCCTTACCCGAAATCCTTGGGGCAAGATGTGTTTTGGATTTTGGAATTTTTCGGATTTCAGAATGATTAGGTTAGGTTTTTTTTTCAGGAATCAGCCCACCCGGGCACAGGTCACTGACCCACATTGGGGCCTAGGGGTGAAAATGTAATACTGTAGTAGTAATAATAATAATAATAATAATAATAATAATAATAATAATAATAATAATGATGATAATAATAATAATGATAATAATAATAATGATAATAATAATAATAATGATAATAATAATAATAATAAAAATAATAATACCCCCTGTATGTATATGAAATAAAAGAAGTTGCATACTGTACTGTAATATACATATTGTTAATCCCCCATTCATACTATTACTATGCCAAGTATTTTGTAATTTACTGTTATAACATCTTTCATATATTACCCCATTTGGCAATCTTCACATGTAAATGTCTTCTGAAAAGTGTCGGTTTTCACCATTTTTTGGAAACGCTTAATTTTCACTAGATACCTTACCAGGTCCCTTTTCTACCAAAATATCAATTGTCGTAGTTGTAATATCTTACATTATTTAATGGGAGAATGAGAAGCCACATGCTCGTTCTTACTTTAGGACGCTTATTCTCTGTTGCTGTGTACAACGTGCCTAACACATTCGTGATTAAACAGGCCTAAACACTTTCTAACTTTGGTAAGAAGTAACATAATACAGTACATAATGCATATATATCAATTATAGATGGCAGGGAAGAAGAGAATAGAACACAAGAAATATAACTTCCTAACTAAACAGTTTTGAAAGGCATGTTCACAATTCAGATAATTAGAGGTCTAATTTAATTACAGGTCTCCTAACTCTGTTTGATCTTCTAGGACTATTCCGTCCATCAAGTTTTACAGGGGTTTCACGTGCACTCTGTGCACTATCAGTGACAGACGTATCATCACTACAGTCAGTTGACACAGTGAGTGGATGCTGGGAAACATCATCTATGACATCATCATCATGATGATGATCATCTGAAACTGTGTCAAGTTTATCATCATGTCCTGGTGCTACATTCATCTCGTCATGTGCCTGAATGATGTGATCCACATGAACATAACTGAAAGAGTTACCACATTTCACTAAATATGTCCTAGGTCCACATACCTTGTCAATGACACCAGTTATCCACTTTGCATGTACAGTACCATAACCTTTAGCCATGTTCCTAACTCTCACCCTATCATTTACCTTGAACACTCGTTCACTGGAACTCTTATCATGATATATCTTTTGTTGAGCTTGTTTCCTCTCTACAACTTCAAACAGACTTGGCTTAACTAAACTTAATCAATTCAATTTCAATTTCAATTGTTTATTCCTTGATAGAGGAAGCGGGATCCTAGTGCTGTCACTAGGTACCCCTGTAAGATGATACCAGAAGCATCTGGCAAGTGTGACAAGTATATACAGTATAAATATTATGAAGGGGCTTACTAAAGCCTAAGGAAGGAAGGATATTCCTTTAACACATATTTAACTCTGCAGGAATACATCCTGTCACAATATGTGGTGTGGTTCTGTATCTGAGTAAGAAATTTGCTATTCTGTGTTTCAATGATTTTCCAACAGTTCCTTGAATTACCTGCTTGGAAAGTGCTTCCTTTACAATTCTAACTGATCTCTCAGCTGCACCATTAGAGGCAGGCTGATAGGGTGGGGTCAGTACATTACTTTACACCGTTGAGTCTCATGAAGTTTTTAAACTCTGATGATTGGAATGGAAGACCATTGTCAGATACTACCTCTTCTGGTATTCCATGTTCAGCAAATATTAATCTTAATTCATCAATGGTGCTACCAGCATTAGTACTGTACATGTGCTTAACATCAATCCACTTTGAATGACTGTCAATTAATACAAGAAATTTGTCTGTTCCCTTATCACAGAAGTCAATGTGTACTCTTTGGAAGGGACGGGTAGGCCATTTCCAGGTTTTCAAAGGTGTGCTGGGTGGCATACTCCTAACATTCTGACAAACAGAGCACTCACATATCATCATTTTTATTTCACCATCCAGTTTAGGCCACCACCAAAACTTCTGGCCAATGCTTTCATAGCACATATACCTGGATGTTCAAAATGCAGTTCATTCAAAATTTGCCCTCTAAAACACTGTGGAATTAACACTCTCATAACCCACAACACACATCCCTGTTCTACTGATAATTGACATCTCCTTAAATGATACGGTTGAAAGTCTAAGGATGGAAAAATCTCTGGCCATCCATTTAGTGTATACTCCAGAACTCTTCCTAATACTGTACAACATCTTTCCTTGTTTCATGAGCAATCATTCTGGAGGTGACTGGAAAATCTTCTGCTAACATGGTTACAGCATAAACCTAAGGCTCTACTACATCATTTGATCCACTACATGGCAACCTGAACAAAGCATCTGCATTGGAATGATCCTCTGAACGTCTGTACTGTATCTCAAAGTCATATGCAGACAATATCACAGCCCATCTCTGCATTCTTGCTGCAGCAAGTGTAGGAACAGGTGATTTAGGACCCAAAATTGCCAAGAGAGGCTTGTGATCAGTTATTAAAACAAAATTCCTCCCATATAGATACTGGTGAAATTTCTTTACACCAAATATGATAGACAAAGCCTCTTTCTCTATTTGTGCATAATTTTTCTTGCTTTGGGTAAGAGTTCTCGAGGCATATGCACCTAATCCATAGCCCGATGCATCACAAGCATGCTTTAGTGTTCTACTGGTATCATAGTGGACCAAAACATCAGTACTAGACAGCAGCTTTACAATCTTCAAATGACTTCTGAGTTGCACTGTTCCATTTCCATGGAATCCCTTTCTTTAACAGTTCATGCAGAGGGGCTAAAACTGATGAAAGTCCACTCAAGAACCTTGAATAATACTGTATCATACCCAGGAGAGCTTTCAATTCCTGACATTTCTTGGAGCAGGTAAATTTACTATGGCTCTTAATTTATCTTCTACAGGTCTCAGCCCTTCTGCATTCACTTTGCAGCCAAGATAAGTTACTTCTTTAGCCAGGAAAGAACATTTGCTCTTGTTGAGCTTGACATTGTGTGTCAAAAATCTTTCGAATACTGTGGCTAGGGTTTTGACAGGATTTTGGATGGCACTGTCAACAATAAGGACATCATCCTGAAAACATAACACATTGGGAAGCCCCACAAGAATTTTGTCCATGATGCACTGAAATAACTTTGGTGCACTTTTAACACCTAAGGCAACCTTTTGAACTTATACAATCCTTTATGAGTGTTGATGGTAAGATACTGTTGGCTTTCGGCATCAACAGAGACCTGAGCATATGCTTGGGACAAGTCTAACTTAGTGAAAATGGTTCCACCTGTTAGTGCAGCAAACAAATCTTGAGATGTGGGTAAGGGATATTGCTCTTCCTCAACAGCTTGATTAATGGTAACTTTATAATCACCACATAGTCTAACAGATTTATCAGCTTTAGGTACAATTACTATTGGAGCAGCCCAATTGCTCTTGGCGGTTTTCACAATAATTCCCTCACTCACAAGTCGTCTAATTCCTTCTCAACCTCACCTTTCAATGCATAAGGAACAGGTTTGGACTTGGCATATATAGGTGTAACATCATTGTCAATGGTGATATGAGCTTCATAACCCTTTATACCATCCTGTCCCTTAACAAATAAAATCTTGTATTTTTCAAGCAATTTCTCAAGACCTGGAATACTGTTACACATTCTAACACTAAATATCTCCTTCCAGTCCATCTCAAGTTCACACAACCAGTTCTTACCTAACAAAGTTGGTCTATTCACATAACTAGCTATAATTAATGGCAACTTTAAATTCTGATTTTTGTACTTTACCTCACACTCTAATTTACCTTCTGTGTTCAAAATCTCTCCAGTATAAGTTCTCAACTTGACACCTGAGTCTTCTAAAGGCACATGCACAAATAGCTTCTCATACATATCTCTACTCATTATGGAAAATCAGCTGCAGTATCCACTTCCATGGTTACAGGTGTCATTAATACACAAGTCCACATTATACTTTTATTTAACTTTCTCTTCATGACTGGTGTAAATAGTAAACACATGGGCACTCTCATCATTACCAGGTTCAAAATTACTAACACTCTCATGAATACTGTTTTTCGTTTCCTTCTCATCACCTTTAACAACATACAGTACTCTTCTTTTATCACTTCTGGCAGGGGCTGTAATTTCTTTCATACAGGCAGGAGCAATATGTCCAATACGCTGACAATTGTAACATCTTGAATTTTTTAACTTACACTGAAAGCTTTCATGTTTCCCTAGGAATCTCTTACATTTTAAATCAGCATGTGTTCCTTGTTTTGTGGCATAATTCTTGTTCTCTGGTGATTTACTCTGCTAATTCCATGCTTGTAGCTATCTGACATGCATTTTGTATTTTTTCATAATTCAGACCTATCACAAACCTGTCTCTTAGAGCTCGATTCAAGAACTGTCCAAAGTTACAGTGAATGGATAACTTCTTCAAAGCAACTATATAATCACTTACTGACTCATCTTTCCCTCTATCTCTTGTGCCAAATTTGTAACTTTCAGCGATCTCAGGTGGAGCAGGATCAAAATGTTGCTTCATAATCTTGGTAATCTGAATCAGTGAGGAGTCTTTTGGTTTGTCTGGAGCAAGCAGATTGACCAAAGTAGAATAAACAATAGCTCCTACCTCTGTCAAAAAGACTGCCTTCCTTTTCTCTTCA